TAAAAAATATAATTTTCTAAAAATGAAAATCAAACAAGCTAAATGACTTTTTTGCCCCCCTGAAATTCAACTGGGTTTTGATGGTTTAACGTTGGTATTCTTGATGCTCATTCTACATAGAAGAGGGAGAGAGAAAGTGTTTTGGAGAGAGAAAGACACGGTAACGTTCGTAGAGTTTTGAAATATAATTTGAGTATGAAGTTATATTTTGAGTTTGTGTGTTTAATAATGATTTGAAAAGACAAAATTTGTTGGTTATGAGTTTTAAAAAAATTTTAAAAAAATATTTGAATTGAGTTTTGAATTTTTGAAATAAAAATTTTAAAGCAGAAAAATTGTTTGATTCAAAAATTTATATTCATAACCAAACACATAACTCAAAATTCTATTTAAAGCTCATAATCAAACTCTTTTTAAAATTCAATTCAAAAAAATAATTATTGATAAAAACAATTTTGTTATTAAAAAATTTAAAAAAATATTTTGAAAATATTTTTTTATGTAAAATTATAAAAAATATTAATTTTTGTTAAAAAATAAAAAAACAAATTCTTATTTTTTCAATTAATAGGTGTCAATTGTCCACAAAAAAAAAAAAAAATACATTCCAATCAATCGACCGACGTCTAAAAAGATGACCAGATAGACTCAATTCGCTCTTTTCAAAATTTAAAAAACTCTCTACTTCTACTCTCTAAACATGACCAAAAATGAGTTTTAGAATGTGACATTAGAATCAATTTTTAAAAATTTAAACTAAACAAAATATTAAATAATCACTAAAATCATGTTTTCAGAGCTGCTCTAAACATAGTAGGTTTTTTTTAAGAGAGAGAGAAAGGAAGAGTATGGGTTTTAGAGAGAGAAAACGCCTATTAGAGAGAGAGAGAAACTACATTTGTGTTTCTTGATTTGGGACACACTCGCTCTTGGAAGGCAACCCGGGCTTCTTCCTTTTCTTCAAACCCATCCATGGTCCTCCAAAAAAAAAAACTGGGGGGCCTTTAAGGGGCCCCTTTGGGGAATATTTTAGTTAAAAAAAAAAAGGCAATAATTTAAAAAAATTTTTTTTTTTTAAATTTTTTTCCTTTTCCTTTCCCTTTTT